ATAACAATTTATTAATGACATGTTTTTACATTCATAAGGGAGGGGTGGGGGCAAGCAGAGGTAACCAAACAGCATCTTTTTAAGTAACACGGGGTGACAGTTCTTCAACGCCATCCCATGACTTTTTATTTTTCCTGGAATAAAAATCCACATCTGTTGCAAACGTTAGCTTTTCTATGAAACATTGTGGTGATGAAAGAATGAGATCCGATGGATTCTGTCATCATTCTGGTGAAATGCTACATGCTGAAAACAAACGATGCAGATTGTGCTTCAGGACAGATCCACAATTTACACCACAGTGTGACTTTGTGTGATGTGCAGGAAATTCTTATCTCAGGAAAAACTACTCAAAGAGGAACCAGCTTTGTCTTTTATGGTAATTTATTACAAAAATATAGTGAGGATCAGTTTCAGTGAATCATAACTGAAAACAGTAAAACTAACAACAAAGACAAGCTGTAAGGTTTCAAAACAATTAAAAATAAAAAGGATTGTAGACTTCATGTTATACATCTAGTTAAGATCAGGTCTGGATGTTTAAACCTTTATAGAATGAAAATATATTTTTCCAAAGGAAATATTTTTCTTTTATAAATTAAGTGACAAGAGACCCAGGTCAAAACTTATAAGTTTTTATCAGTTTGGAAAGAAGATAAGATCTTGGTCAGATGAAGAATGTGTAACTTTATTGCTGCAGGAGGAAGAGTTTTGGAGTTTGCCTCGGCTGTTCCCCAGGATTGAACAGTGAACACTGTGTGAGGCCTTTAAAAGGTGCAGTTACATGTCATCCACCAGGTCCTCACGTCGTGCAGCAGCAGCTCCATCAGGGGACCACTTGGCTTCCTGTGACAGAACAGCGCAGGACATCCTGCCGGGGAGTCAGCAAAAACTTCTCTTTTTCAATAAAACAATGATATTTTCCCTCAAATGCTTTGCTTGTCCATCTCAGGTCTCAAAGCTGCCAGCTTCTACACAAAGTGCCTTCTTCTAGTTTGCACTCAGAGTTCAGCTGTGTGCAGTAGATGTAAGAAAAATATCAGGTCTCTGTCAGAAAAACATAGCATTTCCTTTGTGGAGGATATTATGTTGACAGAGCAGAGTGGCACTGAGACACATAAACATGCAGGTGTTGTTTCCTTCTGCTCAGGGAGGAAAGAAGAGAATCAGTCACCGACTTTTAACACCAGTTAAAATTAATGATAATCATCAGAAATTATCTTTTACAATATGAGACACACTTGAAATAAAATACTTTTAAAAGAAAACTCATATCACTAAAATGTTAATGATTATATTTTGTCTAGTTTAATAATGAATCACAGAAGATTAAAACAGACTGACCTGTCGAGGACAGATCAGTGAAAACTAGGATAGAATGTGTCTCTAAGGCAGCTTTTTCAGAACAAAGTTCACTTACTTAGGAGACATGACAGGTGGTGATAAACGGGTCATGTCAGGGGTCACCGTCGTTCATCCTACAAGACATATATATATATAAATGTCTTGTAGGATG